TAGTAGTGTGTGTGTGTGTGTGTGTGTGTGTGTGTGTGTGTGTGTGTGTGTGTGTGTGTGTGTGTGTGTGTGTGTGTGTGTGTGTGTGTGTGTGTGTGTGTGTGTGTGTCAGGCTGTGATAAGAGGCAGACAGAGAGCCCGTTGGCGCTCCTCTGAGGTGACGACATTTATGGCGGCCAGACGAGGATTTAATAACGCCAAACACACACTGTGGAGGGGCGGCACTGTGACGGAGGGGTGTCAACACAGAGCTGCAGGGCGAGAAACTATTTGGCCCAGACACCATCGTCTCTATTTGCTCTAGGTGTTCCCAGAGGGCCCCGCATGTGAACAGAGAAGATGATCCGTTTCAGCTTCTGGAAAAACTATTTAGGAGCAAGCATTGGGGAAATATGGGCTAGTTTTACTACAATAAATGTATATTAACAGGCAACGTTATGATAGAAAATGTTCCTTAAAGCCACTTCTGCACCACTCACTGGATGATTTAAATTAAATCCATGCATGCTGCTTTGTTACAGTAAAGAATATATGTGCATTTTATATTCTATGCCTTTGTATGTCTTTACAAAGTCATACATTGTAGACAGAGCCGGTGTTTTCTGTTTACATTATGGGTCATTTTAGTATTTAGGAGATGTGAGGTAATGAAGAGGAAGAGGAGGAGGGATGAAGGTTTCCCAGGTCTACGTCAATAACATCACACTTTACACTCTTCAAAAAGAAGAATAAACGGAGTACTCACCATTGAAAACTTCGTTGAACTCTCCTGGCGGGGCGTGGATGACGAAGTTAGCTGCTATGCGTACCTGCAGAGAAAACAAAAAGAGGTACAGGTTAAGACTGATAGTCCTTATTCTAACACTCAACTAATCCTCACAAAATATCAACAACAACAATCAATGTTTTTGACACAGTCCAAGATCTCAGACATTATATTGCATTAAAACCCGTTTGTGTATTAGGATATTTCTTTTTACAATTCCCGACCACTCCCAGCGAGAAACACAGATGTTTTTAAATCATTGACGTAGGGCTGCACAATCTATTTAACTATTTTATGAAAATGGCAACAGCAATTTGGGCTGGTGCAAATTTAAAACACAGGTGGTAGGGCTGCTCGGCTAATCTCGACTAGTTGGGTCAATAATTGTAATTGCGATTATTAAATGCGATTATTCATTGACTTTGAAAACATCCATTTATTGAAAAAAATAATAATTGAACAGTATGTTTTTAACAGTTGATTACCCTGAACTTTAAGTATAATTCAACGGAAAAAATAAAAAATAATAATAAAAAAATAATTGTTTTATTTCTATTACGTTGTTTTAGTAATCGTTGCAAGCCATAATCGTAATCGCGATTAAAATACGATTAATTGAGCAGCCCTAACCGGTGGCACAATAAGTCATTTAGCTAAATAAGTGAATATTATTCTGAATCAGGTATTGTGGATGTCGTGGACAGATATATTCTACGAACTGGATAATAAACCTTTGTTTGGTACAGATTATTTTACAAAAAATACACTGTGGTAATTTCAAATACATGTTTCAATGATTAGACTGGACTAGATAAGCACTGAGACTAAGAACACTTCTAACCAGAAGTGCAAATGAAGCAGTAAAGTGCAGTGTTATCATTTAAAGTATTATATAAAGAAAGAAAAGTGAAAGTACATATACACTATGGATCAGTATATATGTGTATTTAAACACTATGAATAATCTGATATCGGTAATCACATCACAATATAAATATTGCGATTAGTTATGTGTCCCATATTGTGCAGCAATAGTTCTGACTCCTACTCAAGTTTGCAGAAGTTCACCTCAAGTAAGCCTACTCGTATCATTCACCAAGTAAACTCTGAATATAGGTGCGCACCTCGGCCAACAGAGGGTGTAGCGTTACTGTGTCACTAGTCAAGAGGGGGGAGTGAGGCGGTGTGTTATCACTCATTAAACGCTGTCATTTTCCCTCTTCCTCACTTCTCTTCTTCTGCTGCTGCGCCACAACACTTCCTGTTTCCAGGTCACATGTCAAACTGACAGCGAGACGGCAGCGGCCCCTCCCTCCCCCGCATGCTTCACGACCATATAAGGAGATAAAAATGTGCCGAGGACTCTGGTGCACATTCTCTCTCTCTCTCTCACCACCTCTATATCCCCTCTCAATCTCTGAGAGGGTACCGTGGTGCATCAGGGAAGGTGTGTGTGTGTGTGTGTGTGTGTGTGTGTGTGTGTGTGTGTGTGTGTGTTTGTCCCCCAGGCCCTTATTAGCAGTGTGTGTATACAAGTGCTCTGGCACTCGTGCAGAGTTCCAGATTGATTCCTGCTAATGAGCGATGCTGAGAGAAGGGAAGCCACTCGGGGAGGAACGTGTGTGTGTGTGTGTGTGTGTGTGTGTGTGTGTGTGTGTGTGTGTGTGTGTGTGTGTGTGTGTGTGTGTGTGTGTGTGTGAGTGTGTGTGTGTGTCACATACTCTCACTTTGTTCAACAGCTGGTGGAAAATGGTGTTTGTGACTCCCTGGGGGAAGACTCATTTGCATTGTGTCTCCCTCATTACACCGGACAGCAGTAAACACACTTTCCATAAGCAGCCAGCATCTAACAGAGACTTTGTTTACGGATTATGTTATTTGAACCAAAGTGAGTTATCAGCTAACATCAGTCCATGTCACGTTAAAACGTCTCTACTTGTTTTTACTCGGCTGCTTCCTGTACCTGGCGCTGACGACTGAAGTTTCAACTCAAAAGCCACTTAAGGTAAAGATTACAATTGAATGAACAATAGACCGTTTGTCATTTTCAATCCAAAAAAAAACCGGTCCTCTTCCTCTATCAACCTGTCTATACAGCTAAGAGTTAATATTGGACTATGATAAAACTAGAGATGTCCAGCAGTGTTAATTTCGTCAACGAAAACTATGACGAAAAATGTTCGTCAACAACCTTTTTTTACATGACTAAGACGAGACGATGACGAGCTAAAAATAGATTCTTGATAACGAAACTTTGACGAAATGTATATTTAGTTTTCGTTTGACGAGACGGGACTAAGGTGTTAATGGTGGACTATCGGACATTCAAAATGCAGCATATTTTCCCCCAAGTGTCCATCTTGTCTGTCAAAATGCATCTTACGTTTCTAACTTGCAATATCATTATTTCCGCTCTCTTCACTCCAGAAGAGCGATCTCCCTGTGTCTCTCCGTGTGCGGGGGGCGGGGCCTAACAGACATGATGCAGCGGACACAGAGATCTGCCGGGGACGGAGCGTTCAGAGAGTATAGAGACACATTTTGACTAAAAGTTGACTAAAATGTAATTTTTCTTCAACTAAAACGTTTTGAGTTTTTCGTCGACTAAAACTAGACTAAAACTAGACTAAAACTACGAAGGATAGGAATGACTAAAATGTGACTAAAACTAATAACCATTTTCGTCTAAAGACTAAGACTAAATCAAAAACAGCTGCCAAAATTAACACTCACGCACACTAAATTAATTAAGTATTAAATTATTAAACAATAAATAATATATATAAATATATAAATTATAATAAAGGTGTAAAGTAAACGTTACAAGCCTTCAAGTTATTTTTCAATACAAAACTTCTACATGAACCTTCAAATATATTAAATAGGTAATACAGATTTTACAGAATTTTGCCACGGCTGTTATAAAACTAGCAATAGCGTTTGATTAAAGGTCTTTTACATAGCCAGGTTGTGTTAATTAATAGCCTGTCCGGATCCACGGGAGAGGCAGTAGTAGAGGTGTCGAGGGGGGGGGGAAGACACTAGAGGGTTAGGGGGTCAGACATTCCAAACCACCAAC